CTGCTGTTGGCCCAGTTGGCCAGAGCCCAGCCCCAGCAGCAGCAGCAACAGTCGGCGTCGGACTATGGCGAGGAGCAGCCACCGGAGGGATACTATGCCTTCGTGGAGTCCCCCAATGCAGTGCCGCCCAAGGTCAGGCTTCCACCCTACACATTTGTCAATGCCGACTGCAAGGACGTGGCCGCCGGCAAGAAGTCGGCGGTGTCCGTCCATAACATCTGCGGAGATCTTAACAAGGGTCAGATACCCAAGAATCCGCTGGGTCAAAACGTACTTGGCGAGCCCTATCCCTTGTAAGTAATATGGGCTTCTTCAATGGTAACCAAATATCTCTAAAGCATCCTTCTGCAGTGAACTCATCCGTAATCAGACACTGAAGTTTCTCTCCAAGACCCTGCCCGTCCTCAAGGCCGATGACACTCTGCCCAAGGTCACTCAGATCATTCGTGATGAGCCCGTTGAGCAGCTGGATAGCAACAATATCGATAGGCCGTATCCGCCCGGAGGATCCACGAGAGTACGACGTAGTGAGCCCGAAGGCATAGAGGTCAACGAGTACAGCTACTTTGATCCGGCCTTGGACGAGGAGGACCAGCATCATCAGCGGGAGCATCAGCAACGCAGAGCCGCCGAGGAGCGGAAGCCACGAAAGTTCTGCGATGGCGGTGGAGTGTAAGTTGAGACTTTCGAATATATAAAATCAAGGGGATTGTAGAACTTGTAAGGTTTTTATGCGGATATTAGCCGTGGAATTCATCTCTTAATTTGCCGCTAGAAAGGCCCCTTTAAGGAGGTCATCCATTAATCATTAATAACGCCAACAAAACTCTGAAAACAAAGAATTTAAAACCCAGCAAGAACGAAAACTAGGTGGCCATTTCACTTTTCATAGAATTTCTCATGAATATTAATATTTCTTTGCCGATTAAAAATCCAAAAACTGGAAACAGGCATTCCTCAAACTTCTGTCCCCTCAGCTCAATAATCTCTATATTTCTTCGACAGATTCTGCACCCTGTATAGGGCCATCCAAGGAGACACCGGTGGTTCTGCCCCAGCCACGCCCACGGCAGAGCGTCGTGAGGAAGTGGGACCCATTCGGTACGAGGGTCCACCCACGCCCTGTCCCGCCAAGGTGGAGTACGCTACGCCCGTCTTTGCCAAGAATTATCAGGGAGCCTGGCGCTATGTGGTGCAGATACCCTACGAGGGCTACTTTACCCAGACGGTGGAGGTGACGCGCTGCATCCAGGCACGCTGTCACTACCTGGACGGTGGCTGCCTGTCGTCGCCGCGCTGGGTCAGCCTGCTTGTGGCGGAGATCTTCTATCCGAATGCCGAGGACACAGTGCCCTCCAGCTCAACCACTACGCAGACGCCCTCGGTGCAGGACTTCCAGGCCTACCAGCAGTATCTGCAGAAGCGAGCCGGCGTGGCCACCGCCTCCGATGGCACCTCGGGCGGCTCGGCATCGTCGGCGGGCGCGGATGCCCACTGCGATGGTAACGATGAGCTGGGCTGCTTCCAGGTGCGTCTGTACTACGACTGGTTCCTCATTCCCGGCTCCTGCAAGTGCTGGCGTCCGGATTACTTTGCCAAGTACGTGCGCCGAAAGTCGGTGGCCGATTTGTGAGGCTTTACTCGAACTGCATCAGCGGAATTCCTAGCATAAGTTTAAATCCTAGCACCTAGTTACATACCTACTACTATTGAGATGAAATGCTCATTCTAGTGATCCTTTCGGGGCGGAACCCGGCCCCCCAGGATCGCGTAGAGTTTGCAGTTCCTGCAACACAGATACATCTACCAGATACATTATTAACCTAGGCAATTAGCTCCCTCTTTCGACTGATTAAGCCAAGCGCATTGAATTTCTACTAATAAACATAATACTTCTCCCTAAAATTTGTCTGCTCTCTTTTATCCACTCTCTCGCTGGGATTTGGGCTAGGCCAGAGTACCAGTGCGAGCCTCCTCCTGGCGTACCTCTCCCGTGTGTATCTGTGTGTGGGTTGCGCGCTGAAAGATCCACCGAAAAAGCCACAGAAACCAGTCGCGCAAGTTGCGCATGCGTGCGAGACCCGAGACTCGAGAGTCAGAAGACACGAGCGGCGGCTCTAGTGTGCAGTCAATATAACCAGTTGGTTGGGTTTGGGTGTTTCGTGTGGCGGGGAACCGAGCCAAGCTGCATTACATACACAGCGGATTGGATTGGATTGGATGGCATCGGCACAAGCCATCAAAATAGGTGCAAAGCTGGCGCAGAAGCCTTGACGAACGGCCTCAAAAGAACCGCTCGGAAGAACTGGATTCAAATTGGATTTCAGGAGTTGTTGTAACATTTCCGCATAGCTTGGGTAAGTTTTAAGGGGATAGAGATTGTTTATAAACAAAATAAAGGTAATACAAGTCTAGAAGCAGGTATGCATTTTAAATCTAAAGCAAAATCTTTAAGAATTGGGGGTTTTCTGCGGTAAGAAGAGTTGATTTTAGAGTAATTTGATAATAAAAATAAACAAAAATCGACAGACATTAGTAGTTAAACCTTAAAACCTTAAACCTTTTCTAAGCTGTATAAATACTCTTTTCTGGGTTAAAATGTTCAAACAATTTAAAGATAACGTTAAATATTGATTAATAAACAAAACCTGGTAATAAGTAAAAGCCATAACAAACCCATCGAATTTCTAGACGAAAAGAAGCCCAGGCTCAGTCGAAGTTTGTGGCCTGAGTCTTTCGTTTTGACACATCTTCTCGGTTCTCTCAAGATCTCTTTTATCTTAAAACCGAGCGTGCCAAATTCACACACATTCCATTTTGGACTCTGCCATGCAAATGAGCTCCCATGAATATTCAGTTATGCATTGGGACCAAGCGTGGGACAAACATCCATAATCCCACCTCCACTTTCCATTGTGCAGACCAAGATGCTCCGCCAGAATATCACCAGCACCAGTCTGCTCAACCTCAGCCTCAGCGATGGCGGAGGAGGAGGTGGAGCAGGTAATCCTAGCCTGACGGCTCAGCCTCAGCCACAATCCCTGGACATGGACGCCTTACCCAAACAGTTTGTGCTCTCCATGAAGAAGCTCTTCGACATCCTCGATGACAAGCAGAGCGGCTATGTGCGCTACACGGACATCGAGAAGGGCTGGCAAGACGACGGATCCAAGGGATTACCGCGTGGCGTGCTGGATTCCCTGCGTCGCGTCACTCCCACCAGTGGACTGCTCTCCTTCGAAAGATTCTGCGCCGGGCTGAAGCTGTGTCTGCTCCGCAATCAGCAGCAGGCTTTGGGAGAGGTCAAGATGCGGCCCCGTTCCCAGGTGAACCTTTCGTCGGAGATGGACTACAGTTCGCCGGCACCGCCGCCAAAGCCACCGCGACAGGTGCCCACAACATCGCCACCAGCTTTGGGCAAAGCGGACATACGCCATGCCCTCCAGAACTGGCAGCTCAATCTGATGGCGGATGCCGGCAAGCTTCCGAAGTTGCCGCAGACGAGGGAGCAGTTCGAGCATCGCGGCTCGGCAGATGGCGGCTCCTCGTCCACCTCTGCCTCGGCCACCGATTGGAGCCTAGCAGCCCTGCCCGCCCTGCCCAAGAAGTCCAGTAGCAAGCGGAGGGAGTCGCGAAGGCACACCCTCCAGCACGGCATCGACTACAACATGCTGAAGCGGATGAAGCAGCTGGAGGAGCAGCGAGAGCTGCTGCTCTTCGGACTGGATGGCGTGGAGAAGGCGCGGGACTGGTACATGCAGCAGGTGCTCAACGTTCAGGAGCAGATCAAGTATTTCGGTCGCCTGGGAACCAGATTTGTAAGTGCCTCTATCTTCTGCCTGACTAGAACCGTAGTTAAACTTATTGATCATATTGCAGGACCAGTGGTCGGAGCTTCAGCAGGAACGGCTCAACTTCCAGCGTGCCCGCGTCTTGGAGGCGAATCGCAGCCTTCAGATTCTGGCCGACACCTGGGAGCACGGCGGCTATCCGCTGCACATCAATCTGGCCCTGCCGTCGCCCGCCGTCTCCAAGCCCCGCCAGATGTCCGACCTTTTGAGTCGCGTACGCGAGAAGTCGCCACTCCTGTCCGATCTGTACGAGGCGCAGCAGCACTCGCACTCTCACGCCCATCCGCAGTTCCTGCGTGCCATGTCCTCCAACTTTGTGCTGAGCCAGCCCTCGCCGGTGAGCCAATCCTCGGCGGGTTTGGGCGACGCTGATGTGGTTTACTAAGAGCAGGATGCGACGACAGAGACGATTTCACGAGGGGATTTGTAAATATTTAGTGTATTATTAAACGACTCAATGGACTCAACTAGACTAGAGGCTAGAGGGGATTGGGGTAGCGGCGCATGTACTTGTTCAGCTGCTTGTAGTTGAGGTTGTTGCCCGGCTGCACGATGCCCTGGTTTATCGTCTTCTTGGCCTCAAACTTGCGGTCCATGTAGCACTTGAAGCAGTTTTGGAACTGGCTGATCTCCTTGTGGCAGTACTTCTCCACGAACTCGTTGTCCTTCAGGCAGGCGAAGAGCACGCCCATCTCCTGCAGGCAGGCCACATCGTTGCCGGAGTCCGCCTTCCCGCTGACTGTGTTTTTCAGGCGCAGCGGCAAAATCTCCTGGAAGGGCACGTCGGCCTCGTTTTGCGGCGCTCGCCCACGGGCGGCAAACAGGGCACTGGGTACTCGCATCTGGAAGCCCGAAAGATCAGTAATGGCTCGGTTTTAAGTCACATTCCGGCATTGTTTCACTCACATCTCTCGCCTCGTAATATCCAGACAAGTCGCCCCAAACAGCTGTTGGCGTGTTACATCACGACCGCTGACCAACACTGAACCAGCCGTTGCGCGACTCGCGACATTTGCCAACACTGCCGTGTCCTGCGCCGTTTACCAGCCCTGGTCGGGAACAACAAAGTTGACAAACAAATAAAAATACGCGAAAAACGTAAATAAGCAACGTGCGGGCGCAAGCCATCAAGTCCAAACGGAGCCCCGAGCACCAGATCAATGGAAGCCGCCGAGGACAGAGACCAGGCGGCGGCGGCCCAATGCGTACCAGCTCCAGACGCCGTCGCCGATGCTGAGCAGGAGGACGATCTGGGTCGGGATATTGACCCCCTGGGGCTGTGGGACGGCGGTGCCACGCTGAGCAGCCGGAAGCGCCAGCTAAGCCGCTTTCATCCGTACCATGGCTCCAACATACAGCTGGGCGACGATGCCACCGTCGCCTATCGCCGGGCCAGCTTCGCCGATGCGTTGACCTTCTCGGAGCGCCCGCTGGCGCCGGGCGACATCTTCCTGGTGGAGATCGAGAAGATCGAGCGCGGCTGGTCGGGGCACATGCGCCTGGGCCTCACCGAACTCACCCCGAATGTGATCCGCACGAGCAGCGAGGGCCTGCCGCACTTTGCGCTGCCCGACTTGGCCAATCTGGGCAACAGCTGGATCTACCCGATCTCCAAGTTCGAGATGAACCAGCGCCAGGAGCCGAACGACATAATTGAGCCGGAGACGGTCGACCAGCCACACAGTAAGTTAGCTTCTTAAAGTTGCAGGGAATCCCGATCTGTACTTAATCCTTGTTTGTTAAGGAAACCTTTTGGGCGATGCGACGCACGTGCGAACGCCACGCGGCCTGCTACCAAAGAGACTGCTGCGCCCCTCGATGGGCAATGGCAACGACTCGGACATCCTGCTCACGGACAGGGGCTCACGCATCGGCATCATCTACGTGCCGACGGTGCAGAGTGCCTCCAAGGGGGAGCTGCACTTTATCATCAATGGGGTCGATCATGGCCCCGTCTCTCGTGACATTCCGCTCAACAGGTCGCCCCTGTTCGTCGTCATTGATGTGTACGGCACCACCAAACAGATAAGAATCATCCAGCTGGAGGGCAGTAAGTGGCAACGCCTTGGCTTTGCTTTCTCCTTCTCATTTGAATTCGTTTCTTCCCCTAGTTTTGTCCCTGCAGAGCGCTTGCCGCAACGTCATCCTGGAGCACTTTACGGCGAACACTATCACCAAGCTGCCGCTACCGGAGAGCATCAAGAGATTCCTGCTGCGCCGCGATTAGAATCTGGACTATGGGCGCGCTGTGTGCAAGTGTGAATGAAAGATGCGTGTTTGAGGGAGAGTGTGCATGAGCCTGGGTCGTGATAGCCTGTTTACCCACATATATACATATACATATATATATTTTATACGCCTGCAGCGCCACTGAAGTGCCCGTTCATTCCCCATCCCGCCTAGGAGGCGCTTATATATTGTAGTTTTTGTAGACAATTATTGTACTTTCAGTTCGAGTTACCTACACCAATACATGTACTCTCGACGAGCCTATGTTGTAGAACATAACCCTCGCCGTCGGCGTTCGTGTATGTCTCCAGCTCCAGCTGGAGGTCGGGGAGGGATCCTCTCCGACCGCCCTGCCTTTTAGCGTTTCGGTCCCGGTCCTCACTCAAGGCGATTTCCGTTTCCATTACCTCTAAGTATGTTGTTGCTAAATGTAAGTTAAGTCCACGTAATAAAAGATCGATCAAAGTCGCTATAACCGCCTGTAATCGTACTTCGAAACTAGAGCTCTTTATTCGTGGATAACATATAGAGTGTATGTGTGTGTGTGGATAGGGTTAGGAGATACTGTTGTTCTGCTCACTTCACTTGCCGCGATTCTCGGCCAGCTTGGCCTTGAAGATGGCCTTCAGCTCGTCGGCGCCCTCGCCGTTTACCTCCTGGTAGTACGGCAGCTCGGCGAGACGCTTCAGCCAGGCATTCAGCTTGGGGAACTTGAACTCGTCGATGATGGCCACTTCGTTCACCGATGTCACGGTAGCCACGGCGCAGAAGTCGGCGATGGTCAGCTCGCTGCCGCACAGGTAAGGCTGGTCCTTGAGGAAGCCCTCCAGGATCTCCCAGCACTTCTGGACGTAGGCGATCTTGTCAATCGAGCAATCCGTGGATCCATTGTACAGAATCGGCTCGTACAGGAAGCGCAGGCGGGCGAACAGGTGGCCAGAGTCCAGGTGAAGACGGGCATCCACATTGGCGCGCTGCACCAGGTCCTTGGGGTAGAGCTGCTGCTGCTCCTTGCCGTACTTCTCCACCAGGTAGGAGCAGATGGCGTGCGAGTCAATGATCGTGGCCTCGCCATCGATCAGCGTCGGGATCGTGTGCTGGGGGTTCAGCTTGAGGAATTCCGGCGTCAGATGCTCACCCTTCAGCAGGTTAATTGGCCTGGGTACGTGTGGAGACAGTTGTTAATTGAGTTAAGTTGAACGTTGTGTGTGGATATGGGGGGATGTCAGTCAGTGTGGGAACCTACCTCAGTTCAAGGTCGAGCCCGATCGCCTTGGCCGTGAGCAAAACGGCACGGGATGGGGGACTGAGGGTGGCGTAATACAGAGCTGGCTTCGACATGGTGGATGAATCACGGGATCTGGAGGAGAACATTATGTTAATATGCGTTTCTGATTTTGTTTAGGCTAAATTTGGCTTAGCATATAATGATTATTTTCTTAAAAGATCATTTTTCTTTCTAAGATTGGAAACTACAAAAGAAAAACTTATAAAGGTTAAAAAACCTGGTTTTTGATAGGATTGTTGTATAATTTAGTTAAAATATACCAACTGACCTAAGCCTTACATTCCTAATTTCAGCTTAGGCTAATCTTCATTTATAGGGTAATCATTATGTCGATTGATAAACTTGAACTTCTTATTAAGAAACTAACCCAAAGTGCGTTCTGGATAAGGTCAAAGTCCAAATTTTAACTGGTTCAAGGTATAGTCGTGGGATAAACCTATTTGTACAGACAAATCATACGATTCTGCTATCAATTTCCTTAAAAGCTAATCTTGTGGTTCTTTGAAAATAACTATACTCCCCTTTGTATTTCACCATTTCCTGAAACAATGAATACTTCCGATTTAATCTTTGCCATTATTTTTACACTATATTAAAGGCCTTATAAGTATATGTATCTTTTAAGACAACTTCCTAGCTACGACTATGGATAGTCAACCTCAAAGATATAAAGATAGAATTAAGATCCTGAAAAACTGCCCAGCAAAATGTCTAGAGTGGACTTTTAGGAGCAGTTAGGTTTACAGCATAACAAAAGTGAACATTTCCTGTTGACTTCAGTAACTCCTAGAGCCACCCTCGCCGCAAACAGTGTGTCAACAAGCGCGATTCGATCCCCGATCCCCGAGCCGCACTAACCGCGTGTACACACCCTGGGCCAGACTACGTATGTATACCACCAAGCAAAACCAACTCGGACACTGACACTTGCACCCACAGAAAAAAATATCAGATAACCCACGGATCTATGGCACGATAACTGGCCTGCTTATCAGGAAGGAGGCCACTTAATACATGGCAAACACCGCAGACCAAAAGGAACAGCAAGGGGGTGGTCTGCTTCGCCCCCTTACGAGCCGCCCATGTCACCGTTCCGCCGTCCCCTATGCCCCACACAGGCCGCGCAACTTGGAAATTAAGTTTACAAAATAAATGTAATTAGCGGCTCACAGACACACACACGCACACACAAAATCTACTGGATCACGCCTCTCTTGCGCCGGCAAATTGTTTTTATAGTGCCAATGCAGCAATTTGTGCGCCTGTGTGTGGGTTCGGTTCTAATGGGGGGGCTGGCAGGCTGGCTGAGTTCGCGCATCCCGTGGAGAATTGCACACAATCACACTTAATGCTAGTAGGTTAGCTCACTCCCACTGAACTCACAGTTTTCTATGACCGCTCGCCACAAACTCGCAAACAGAAATGAAACCGAGTACTGCGACATTTGCTTTAGTTTGGGATTGCCCGCACGCACACATGACCAGAGCGGCTCTGGTGTGGGTGAGAGCATGATGCAACTGAGCAAGGTGGCTCCCATCAGCTGCGTTGCGGAGTACCGTACTTAAAAGAGAACAGTTTGGGCTTTGGGACCACCTTATTTAACTCCACCATGGGTGAGAGTGGCGCTCTCTCTGTAACTCTCTCGCTAAGATGATGGATGTTATTATTCCATTCGTTTATTATTCATAGGGTTTTGGTACAGGTTAAATCATAATATTCATTAGGCTCTACGAGTATATAATATATCTGTATATATATTGTAGCAGTGGCTCCGTTGGAACTCTCTATTCGCCTGGATCCTTGAGCACGAAGAGAGGAGCACAAAGTAAAAGTAATCGTATTGGATTATCCATAAGTTTTGATCGAAGCGAGAACGAAGAAGCACTAAACACTAATACAAGATCGGATCGTGGGGCGAATAGAGAGCGAGAGAGTGAACATTGCTCGCGTCATCGGAGATTTCCCGGGGGATCGATCCATCCATCACATCATTCATCCTTTCTAGTTGTCCACCATGCTACGCTTGAGCGCCTCCTCCAGATCGGCATCGAAGCTCTCTGGCTTTGAGTAGTCCGCCTCGAACTTGTCCTTGCTGGGCTCCTTCTTGGCCTTGCTGTGGCCGTTTTGTTTCTCCTTGCCAAAGGAGCTGTTGCCAAAGTCACTCGAGAAGTTGTGCGCCTCAAAGGCATCGAACTTGGCAAAGTTATGATTGTCGAGCTGGCTATGGCCCACCTTGAAGTTATCGTCGAAGTTGTCATTGAAGGCAGCCTTTTGATCGCTGGGCTTGGTCGTTGCTCCAATGGATGCCGCCGTTGAGTTCTGGTTCCCACCAAAGTTGTCATTAAATGCATCGAAGAAGGAATCGTTGAGTTTCGTATTGCTAGTGGTTATGCTCTTCGTTCCTGTTCCGGATCCTAGTCCTGTTCCTGTTCCTGCCGTGGCTGCAAAGTCATCGAAATCAGCGAATGCGTCCAGCGCTGTCTGGGACTTCTGGTGGTGGGGCTTGGAGCTGGAGTGATGCGAAGATGTGTTCGAGTGGTGCGAGGGCGCTGGACTCGAATTCAGGTTGAATGCATCGAACTGCGCCAGCAGATCGTTCTGAAGGGGCGTGTGGGCCTTGGGCTTAATGCTGTTATTGTTGTTCGCTATATTACTCAGCGTCTTGGTCGTGGATCCCATTTCATCTGCGGGTTTAGGGGTCATTTCAGATGGTTATATTCAATGATCAACAAACTTTCTACTCACCCTCTGAACTAAAGTCCTCGGCAAAGCTCTTCTTCTGACTGGCTCCCTTGCCTGGGCCTTCTAGATCCCCCTCATCATCGTCCGCAAAGGGATCCTTGATGCTGAAGGGATCCTCGTAGCGGTAGTCCTTAAAGGGATCATCCTTAAAGTCCGTGGGCCCAGTGATGAGGCTGGGAGTGGCTGCCTGCTGGCTGCTGCTGCTGCTGTTAGCCGCTCCAAAGGCATCGAAGACGCTCGATCCCAAACCCAGGGCCGATCCCGTACTGCTCTGGCTCAGACCCGAGCTCTGCAGCGGAGTATTGGAACGCGACAAATGCTGGTTATTTGAGCTGGGGGCGGTGGTGGTGCTACCTGGCGCTACGGCACCCGATCCCGCCGTTGCCGCTGGGGCTAATGCGGATGCTAATACCGAGGTCGCAGCTAAGGCTGAGGCAGCTGCCGTGGATGATGATGACGGGAGTAATGGGTGCAGGGTGGCTGTGGATGTGGGTGTGGGCGTGCTGGCAGCCTGGCTGCGCCTCGCAACGGGATCGTCAAACAGCGAGAAGCTGTCGAGCAGCGACGCTCCAGAGGAGAATGGAATCGCGTTGGGAACCGGGGGAGCTGGTGATAACGCGGGCAGGGGCGTGGTGGTGGTGCTTGGAATGTTGTGAAGCTGTGTGTGGGTGCGTCATGTCGTGTCGTTGTTGGGGAATAGAAATGAAATGAAACAAAATTAAATTAAAACGGAATCAAATTAAGCACGGGAATCAGAGATTACACAACCAAAGGGGGGGTAACCGAAAACAAAACCGAGGTCAACTAAAGCGTTCAAGCAGCCACCTATGGATGAGGGATGTGGGATGTGTCCAGACCAATACCCAGACAAGTCGCAGGTGGTACGTTGAATGATGTCGAACATAGATATTCTTTATTAATAATGCAAAACGTTGATTTTTTTTTTTGTTACATTCATTTTGTGTTTTCGGTTAGGCTTCCCTCTAAAACTTTGTTCTCTCTATAATATATGTGTTTAATGTTATATGCTCGGAATATGTTATTCTCGGTAAAATCAATGCACGGGAAGCTTGTTAGTTTCGGTGTGGTAGTAATCAAGGTCTGACAATCTGACAATATATTAATGCATACAAGTACTTTGATATAGTTGGAGTTGCGTGAGAGCTCCTGGCCTAACTGGGGCAATGCCTTAATGACGCTACGTAGCTGGCGGCTAATGGGCTTTGTTTGTTTGGTAAATAGTAGTGGACAGGCAGCAAGGCAGTCCGAACTCCAGCGGCAGTTCATGCATATGGGTGTGTGTGTAAAATGCAGGTAATATATTTTTATATATATAGTATGGCTGTATAATTGCTTTAAACTTTAGTATTCGCATATGCAGAAACAACAAACAACTCGCATTAAATTCCTGGCAGAGTTCTCGCCCCCACGAAACAAACTAGTAATAATAGTAAGTTAATACAATACTGACACTGCCCAAAGGGTCTGGAATCGAACTAGAATTGGAACTCGGGGATTCGGGTTTGGGTCTGGGGTATCCTTCCGATTTGTGACTACATTTATTTAACACGATACGTAACGCTTGAAATTGATTTCTTTTTCTCGAGTTGGCTGAGTGTTTCGATTGAATTGATTTAGTACATTTAGCTAATTAGGCATGAACGATAGATAATGCTGCTGCGTCCTCTAGTAAGTACATATATACCATGCACCGCGACTGATATACAATGTGATGCTGCTGCGAGTAGCTTTGTACGCTCAAATTGATTTGTTTCGTTATGCTGCTAGAGGACGAGGAGTCCATTCATTAACTGAGTATGTGTGTTAGTACTTGGTATATATATTTATATCGTATATAGAATGGGGTTATCTTAAGATGTTCACTGAAAATAGAGAATTGCAGAGATGAGAGACCAGAGAGAGAGAGACGGTTAGTTTCAGCCACCAAAAGCAAGGGCTACCATAAGCTACGAATATGAAAGCTGGGTGAGTTGTGGGTGGTAATATATGATCACTGGTGCCTCACTAGCCACTACGAGGGGTAAAAACCAAAGGGCATACAAATCGAAATCAAAAAGTACTCAAGATCTACGCTCTTGACAGAGGGTGCTTTCAAAAGTGGTTTATTTCTACGAAAAAAAACTTAGGAAATGTTAGTGATAATCGTAAACGTAAAACCGGGGATTATACAACAACATTTTGGGGGTGCCGGGTGCCGGTGCGCATGCATTACCACCGATCCCAGCGGACACTGAATTGTGAAGTACCCACCTTATTGTCAAAGTCCTCAAAGTCAGCGAACCCTCCGCCGCTGCCGCCAAATCCGCTTGTGGGCTGTAACAGAGATTCGGTTAATTTACTCTCCCTTGTTTGGTACTCCCTCTTCCGATTACCTGGGATGCTCTTGGTGGCGCTGGTCGCGGGGGCGGCACCTTGGACTTCTTTGGCGGCAATGCTGGACTAGGGGACTCCGGTCTGGGCGGGGGACCCGATTTTTGCGCGTTGGGGCTAAGCACCTGACCCTGGCCAGTGGGCGCATGCAGTGCCGCAAACGGATCGCTGCCGAAGTCATCCTTACCGGGCTGTGTATATGGAATCGGATTAACTTATAATCTCTAATTAAGACCTCGTTCTTGACCCACCTCTGGGGTGATGGCGTTGCTCTTGTTAGCGGCAAAGGCATCCGAACCGAAGGGATCCCGCTGCGTCTGTCCAAATCCTGTGCCGGCACCGCTCTGATTGAAGGCATCGAAGCCACTGTCGAAGCCCGAGCTCATGTTGAAGCTGTCATCGAAGCCGGCGGAGATGACCGGCTTGCTGGCCTGCTGCTGGCCAGAGAAGGGATCGCTGGCAAAGCCATTGGTGGCCTGATTGGCCGCACCGCTGTTGTTCTCCTCGAAGGGATCGTCCGTGGGCATAACCACCTCCTTGTTCATCGTCTTGCGGGCCTCGTCAAAGTCCGGCTCGATCTTCAGCTGGTACTCGGACACTAGCTCTGCGTTCTGGTTCTCCATGGCAGCCCGGCAGATGAGCAAGGCGTCGGTCATCTGGCGCTGCGTCTCCATCAGCTGGGTAACCATCGAGCGAACCTTGAGGGCGGATAGTTATGAATAGAGAGGTGTCCAATAGAGAGTGATCTGCGCATCTTACCGAGCTGATCTGCAGCTGAGTGTTCTGCAAATGCTTGGTCAACTTGGACAGCTCCCGGTTGTTGTCGTCGTACTCCTTTTGCAGCGACGTCTCCTCATCCTTGAGCTTCTGCAGCTCTGAGCGCTTGGCGTTCAGCTCGCCCTCCTGCTCGTTGATGGTCTCCTCCTGCATCTGGCATTGGTCGCGTATCTTGGTCACCTGCAAGAGAGGGTATTCCGGGATAAGCAGGGAGCTTAGAAGAGCCAAAGCTTCGCACAACACTTAAGCCAACATAAAAATATATCACATGAACGAGAGCGAACGGAACACAAGGCAAAATATATACAGAAATCATGAGGAACTGAAACAAACCTGATCGTTGGTGCGCGATATGTCAAGACTTACGTTGGCCAGCACGGCCGTATTGTGGCTAACCTTATGGGTTCGTAATTGTAAGTGTAAGTGCATTCACCAGTTTAGTATGGGTTTAGCCAATTGTTAACAGAGTGTTTTGTTGGTTGGGGGAACATGATAAAGAAAGGAAACCAAAGTTGTAAAGTTGTAAAATGTAAAGTAAAATAAATAAAAGGTAAAACCCAAGGGCAAGGCAAGCAAAGATTCCCGCAGATTCTCATGCAAAATAACTACTTGAGCCTGAAGGTCGTCCAGTCGCTTCTGGGCCTCTCCTCGCTGATTTTCCAGCTGCTTCAGCGTGGCCGTCAGAGTGTCCAGTTCGCTCTGTTTCGGATAAGGAAAATATGTCATTAGGATGTTTGACTTTTCCTTATAAAAAAAAAGAGGTAATCAACCCACCTGCAGACTGCGCACTTCGCCGTTCTTGATGCGCACATCCGCCTCTTTTTGGGCAATCTCGGTCTCCAGGACTCGCCGTTCGCGTGCCAGCTCCTCGATCTCCTTGGATATCATCTCCAGCTCCGGATTTGAGTACGTGGGCTTCACCTCCTGCGGCTGCAGGTCCACACCGGACACAACGGCGCGCATTGAAGGCGGCACCATGTTAGCGTTGAGCACATGCGGCGGATCAACGCCGCGCTGCTTGCGCTCAACGAACCACATGGCCAGGGCGAACTGCTCCACAGTCAACTTGCCCGACTGATTGGTGTCGCACAGAGCCCTGAAATTATATGGTTAATAATATATTATATGATTACTATGGGTTCACTCTCATATTGCCATAATCCTCACCAGATATCCGCCAGGCTTCGCTGTGGTATACCCGACTTGATGAAAATGTCCTTCACCTCGAGCCCGGAGACTAGACCGTCCTTGTCGAGGTCCGACTGTCGGAAGATGTCCTCAAAGCGCTTCAGTTCAGCCGGTGTGACCACCCAGTCGGCGTTGGCCGTCACGGAGGGCGGAGCTCCGATGGGTATCAGCGGATCCGTTTGGATCAGCGGCTGGGAGCTAACAGCGCCCACAGGGGGAATGCGCGTCATAGGCGGCACAGCCACTGGCAGAGGTGGAATGGCCGCCGGCGGGGCAATGTCCTTGGGGAAATTGGCAACGAAGCCACCATCACCGAATCCCTCGCCGCTTGGAGCACGCGGCATGGCCGCCCCCGCCGGTGGTGGGGGCATGGCGGGCTTGGGCGGAGGTGGTCCCGAGCCACCAGGCTTCCTTAACTCGGGCGGCAGCACGCTGGGAACTGTGCGCTTTTGCAGTGTCTGGTAGACGAGATGCATGGCCACAATGAACTCGTGCTTGTCCAGGTTGCCGTCCTTGTCCTGATCGGCCAAATCCCAAATCGTGCCCAGGATGTTCATCGGCAGCTTGGAGTCCATCAGCACGCCCTTCACCTTGTTGCCCGGCAGCATGCCGTTGTGCGGGTTCAGCGACTCAAAGAGCTGCTCGTACTTGAGCCGATCGATCACACCGATGGACCAGTCGCCGTTCGCCACCCCGCCACTGGACACCGGCACCGTCTGGATGCGCGACGGCATCGTTTTTGGTATTTCACCCTGGCGACGGCGAGTCAGGTGACACAAAACAGATTAGTTACCCATTTTGGGCAGGCGACGATCGCTGATTACTCACCACCTTCGGCGGATTGGCAGTTTCCACATAAATGTTGTTCATGTTGGCCACTTGTCCCGCCTGCGACAGCGACACCAGCTTAAGGGCCACGAAGAAACCCGGCTTGTCCAGGAAGCCCTTGCCGTTGGGATCGGACAGGTCCCAGATCCTGCTCAGGACCACGTCGCTGAGGCCCGACTTCTTGAGAAACTTGGCCGCCGTCATGGCCTCAATCGCCCCGGTGCCTTTGGGGTCAATCTGCAAAAATCAATAGGGGGTGGGTGTTGGTGGTGGTGGTTAACGGAGGCGGATTCCAGAGCTTCGCTGGCATTCCTGGGCTACCCAAGGCCGCGCCCGCGACGCGCTCACCTGTTTGTAGTAGGCCTCGTAGACGCCTATGTGCTTGCCGCACACCTTCGCAAAGTCCAAATTCATGTCGCGGACTCAATTCCACCAGAGCTTCTGCCTTAAAAAAAAACGCGTAAGCGCAAGCCCTGCCTGTTATCACTCAATCGATTTTTCTCTGGCGGAAACGCTGACCGCAATCCTTATCGGCGGAAGTCCGCGCTGCCCTGCACCTGTTCACCAGCGACGACTTAAGCCAGCTGAGCTTTTCACAGGTGATCTGAGCGCATTGCGGGCCCTAATTTAGCTACAAATTAAATTTTTAAAACGCCCGATTCTTTTGCACGGGTTCTCCACGGAGTGTGACCGGAGACTTTGAAGCGGGATATACTGGATTTGTTAAAATACTGAAGCAGTTGATGGTCATACTGAGCGATGAAGGATCTTTATGTATATCGATAATCTGATATCGATAAATATATCGGTATCGATTTCGTTTTGAATGTATTTAAAATAAATAATATGAAATTAAAGTTTCTGTTACGAAAACATTAATACAGAGTTAAAAAACGTTTGCTTTGAAACTGTAAGAAGCTATGATTTGGGATATTGTATTTTTTTTACAGTTATGAAAGCAGTAGTTTACAAAATAATTGTTTAAATATTTTCTATACCAAAAAAGCAGTTATAAGTTCAATATTCCAGAGAAAAAGACTGAAAATATTTCCTTTAATTTGTTTAATTTCCCCTTTCAAGCTGGAAGCTTTAAAAATAACTCATAAACTTGCACACATGCACCTCGAATGAGCATGTACAAGTTGCAATGCAATTTGTTTGGCCTTTTTTTATAACGCATTTCCCGCTTTAAAGTCCAATTTGACATGATTGGCATTAAGCCTATAAATGGTTATGCAAGTCATTAACCAGTTTAAGCCTTGGCTACTTCAAGGACCCGGTTTTATTCACCCAATTTACAGCAATTTATATGTTTATATAGGCCAGTATATCATTAATATAACGATTTGTTATCTGGATTCAAAATCGTGTTTGTTTATTCAAGTTTTCAATGGAATAATGGCAAATTAATTGGCTAACAGGTGTCTTTTAGAGATCTCAATTATCAGGACACAATCATTACTCAAATCAGCGCCATATTTACCACTTAAAACTGGGTTAAAGGAAGCAGGTTGCATAAGAAACGAATTGAGATATTTACTTTCACATTCATTGCTGACTTTCGAGACCGTTCAATTATGGCCACTTAAAGTCTAATCACACCCCGCACGCACAGCCCAATCTCTTTCTCTCTTACTCTCGAGCTTTGGCTGTAAATCCCCCGAGTTACAAGCGAGATAACAAGAGAAACGGTGATTAGGTCAAGGTTGTAGCCATCGCCGTTGTTACCCTTCTTTTGGAGATAAAGCGAACGTGCCGAACTCTGAAGATTTGGGCGGGACAGAAGAGTATAGAGGAAGAGAGAAGGCAAGACGCCGCTCCAAAAAACAAGTGAAGGTCGTTGACCAAATGCAGTGTGCGCGAAGGAAGCGGCTGCGGCGGCGCTAGACGAGTGCAAGCGAGACCGCACTTTGCGAACCCGTTAATCAGCCAGAAAGAGCCGTTAATCGCTGCGAAGAATTGCAGTAACGAATTTCCAGGCGTTCAAAAGCAGCGGGAAGGAAAATGGACGGGGGCACGAGCTGGACAATGGGCAATTAGCGGCGAAGAAAAAAAATCGGAGCCTAAATTTGATTATGAAATAGAATGGGCATGTAAATGCTATGGCCTGTCTTCCGCGTCTCTGTCGTTTCGGTTTTTTTTTAGTCTTTTTGCGCTTTTGCGAAAATAAAAAAATTTTACCTGGCTTTGTTTTAGTCGCTGGTGTGTGTTTAGTCGAATTGTTGCTATTGCCACACGATGGATTTTAAAATAGCCAACTCCGCGGCTAAGTATGTTTTCAATTTAATGACTGCCAGTGATTGCACAAAATTCCAGGCAACCAGGCAGGCAGCCAGTCAGTCATAGATCACATAATGCGCACTTGCGACTCCAGCCCACATGTACATACTGTGCACCCCGAAACGGCGACGGTGGCCACGAAGTCATGCCGTGGGTTCCCACAGGCACTGCAACTGCTCCCGGGGTAGCAATCACGATCGGATTAAAACGGACGGATCGCATTGCCAGTTGCAGCAGCAGCCATGTCTTAGGGGTTTGAGGTTCCTCTGGCAGCTACTCCTACTCTATTCCCATGAAAAAAGAAACATTATTTATAGTTTGACCCAATGCGACTACACAGATGCCAAAATAGCCAGCTAATAATGCACTGAAAAAATAAAAGTCCCAAAATAAAAAGGGGGATTTTTATGAAAACAGAATAGATTATGAATTCTTATTAATTGTATAAGTTCTTTACAAAGCTTTATTGTCTAAAAAAATTTGAATCCCAGGAAAAATATTTGAAAATATTTATGGTTTTTTGTTTTTGTTTAGAAATATTTCTAAAATATTTAAATATTTTTAAATACAACAATTTTTTAATTCAAAAACGTGCCTTAAAGGAAAGAAAGATTCCAAATCCATTATGGTGTTCAAAAGTTGGCTAGAATTCTTTTATACAAGGAATCCTTTTCAATTGAAATTCTTTTTAAACTAATGAAAGTTTAAAGTCACCGATTTTGCCTTATGTTTTACTCTGTTAAATAAATATGTATTTAAAACCAAATAAAAGGCTCATATATTTTTTATGTGCACTTCTTTTATGGCCCACTCTACCACATCGCGATGATATGGATGACCCCATAAAGCTCTATAAGCTGATATCAAATATGTAAAATATATCAAATAACCAAAACGCATTGTGCTTAGAGCTTAACCTTCTTATTGTCTCTTGCCACTTACCACACTCGGCGGGTATCGAATTTTGGCCATTTTTGGGGTTTCGGCCTGTTGGCTTTGGAACGCATTCAAGCCGAAGTCAATAGCCTCAGGGATTTGCATAATCCCAGCCCCAGCCCCAGCCTCTCGAATCTTGAATCTCGGTCTCCAGTCCCGGATCGTATATATCATATGTCCAGACCAGGTGTGGGTCCAATAAAAACGGAAGCTTTGGCCTGCAATTCGATAAAGTAAGTCGCTAAGCTCAAAGCGACCGCTGACTTTAATGTGGGTCTGTGTACCACCACAGATTTCCATCCACTTCCTAGCTATTGTCTGTAGGATATCGACCCGGTTAATCCCAAGCTCCTGCAGCCATCCCCCTGTTGATGTTGGCTGAAACCGAAACCGAAACGAGTTTTCATATAACACCAACGTTCGTTCCCCCAACTGACTTTTCATTACTAAGCCAAAATCCACAACAACAACGGTAGCGGCAACAGCAAAGGCAACAAACGGCAACCAAAAGAGTTGCGAATGCGCCACACCGTCTGTCCGTCGACTTGCGCCGTTGCGAGATATAGAAAGACAAGACAGTCCAATTTTTCGGTGTATATAAGCCGAGTGCAGCGGCTCAGCGATTCAGTCCCAGCTTGGATCTCGTTACCCGTGCAGCACAGCGAACCGTGGAGTAATTGTTCCCCCGTGAGACGTCGAATCAGCAGCTCAACAATGCGAATGGTAAATCCACAAAGCCGAGCCCCTGCCCAAGGATCTAAATATACAAAATTGTGGCTGATGTTGAAGTGTCCAATGTGTGATGATCAGAGATCTAAGATATAGAGTGAACCGTGCCCGTATCCTCCATTGCAGTTCGTACTTCCTTGTCTCGCCGTGTGCGTGGCATTGGCCCACTTTGGAGGAGCAGTCGAGGAGAATAAGGCCGAAGGTGATGGCAAGACCGTGGAGAAGAGGGGCCTCCATCTGGGCGACTATCATCACTACCAGCCTCATCATGAGCACCACCACGAGCACATCAAGACGGTGACCATTGAGAAGAAGGTACCGGTTCCGTACACGGTCACCAAGCATGTTCCATATACCGTCGAAAAGAAGGTGAGTTTAGAGTCCTTTTTTAAAGGATTCTGTACATATTTTCGAGCCTCTTAAAGTGATCAAAATTGCTCAAAAAGAACTTCCTTATCTTTTATGATACTCACTAATTCCCATATACAGATCCCATATGAGGTGAAAGTGGATGTGCCCCAGCCTTACATCGTGGAGAAGAAAGTCCCCGTCCATGTCAAGGAGTACGTTAAGGTGCCCGTCCATGTCCCCAAGCCTTACGAGGTGATCAAAAAGATCCCCTATGAGGTGAAGGTGCCAGTTGACAAGCCGTACGAAGTTAAGGTCCCCGTACCCCAGCCCTATGAGGTCATCAAGAAAATCCCTTATGAGGTCAAGGTTCCAGTTCCCCAGCCTTATGAAGTGATCAAGAAGGTCCCGCATGAGGTTAAGGTTGAGGTCCCAGTTCCCAAGCCATACGAGGTGATAAAGAAGGTCCCATATGAGGTCAAATATGAAGTGGAGAAGCCTTATGACGTGGAGGTGCCAAAACCATACGATGTGGAGGTTGAGAAGCCATACACCGTGGTCGTGGAGAAGAAGGTGCCGTATGAGGTGAAAGTGCCAGTCGACAAGCCTTACAAGGTTGAGGTGAGTAAAGATTAGTCAAATAGGTTCCCAATATCCTTTAATAAGAAACCTCTAACAAAAACTCCTTTAAAATCACTTTATTAACCCATCTTTCCATTTCTATTCCAGGTTGAGAAACCTTATCCTGTCCATGTGAAGGTGCCCGTGCCACAGCCTTATACCGTGGAAAAGAAGGTTCCTTATACCGTCGAGAAGCCCGTGCCGTATGAGGTTAGGGTGCCCATCGAGAAGCCAATTCCCGTCTATTCCGAGGTGAAGGTTCCAATCCACAAGGAGATTCCCGTCCCACACAAGTACCACGTGGAGGTGCCGATCTTCAAGCATCACCACGAGCACGAGGATGATCATCACGAGGAGTACCAAAGCCACGGCCATGGCCATGGACACTACTAAGGATCTCCCCGGAATTAACCGAAGCCAGAAGCACAGAACGCGAGCACAAGAAGATGAAGAAGCAAGAGGAGGAGTGATAAGAGATGACGAAGAACGAACAGGGAGGAAGAAGAGCGCACGACAAGCAGCGAGCGAGTCCATCTGTATCTCTCAGATACATCCGCGCAGCAACGTTGAGCTGGACGTTGAACGGGTGACACGAGCGGGAGGAGAAGAGGAAGGATGTTTAGGAGAAGAAAGAGGAGAAGAGGAAGAAGGAAGAGGAGGAGATGCCGCTTCTCCAGAGCCAGAGCAGAAGAGGGAGTACCACCAGGGAGTAGCAGTGAGAGGACAAACTAACTCGCTACTCCCGTCGAGATCTTGCGGAAGCCAAAACCCCCCCAAAAACTTATTGGTTTCCGCATCAGTTTTAAGCCAAATGTGTTAGTACTTTTATCATTGTGTTAGACCCTACGATTTCTATTTAAATTATAAGCTAAAGAAACACTGACAAGCACAGCGCGAAAATTAATGGGTTTGTCGGGGCAGAGCGTGCGCGGGCGCGGACGGAAGTGAAAGTGAAAATTGAGCAGCGAGCCATGGCCAAGAAACCACGTAACAGGCAACACTCATGGCGGAAAATGGAGATGAAAATGAAAGAAAACCAGTTGCCACTTACTACAGTCCGCTCTCAGTGGGTATTCTTCTGGCCAGTTCATTATGCAAGGAGCGATCCGATCGGATTGACGATTGCGTCATCGGCCTGCCAAATTAATTGCAGGAAGCACTCGCCGCCGTTCAAAACTTGGCAACATTTTCGCAATTATGGCGGGGCCGTCATAATCGCAAACATAATAGAAGGGAGAGGGGGAACATATACTGATGCATAGATATTGCCAACCAAAAATTGATGGCTACACATGGGAAAATAACGTTTGCTACTGAATTAATTTGGCTGGGATCCACAATATACCACAAAAAGCTGGCTTAAATTAGCATTTTCCAACAGTTTATCTTTTTCAAAGATCGAAGACATTTCCAATCACCTTAATTTTTCTGTGTGTACATTTTCGTGGATCTATTTGCAATTGAATCCGTAATAAACACAAAGACAGTTACAGTTCAAAAACAAAACGCCACTTCAAGTGCGCAATGGCCTCCTTTTGGCGAGGTAGTAAACGCAAAGCGTAAACGTAGCGCATAGCCAAATTGCATTTCGCAACATCAGTTACTGCAATTACCCATCAAGTACCCCACTAATTGCACTTCGATGGTGTAAGCTTTGGCGCGGGCTTACTGTTTGAAATTTGGCGCCTCCATCAATAACAGTGGCAGATTAGCCGGCGGGCACACTAGATGTATAGCGATAGTTAGCCGTTATTTTCACCTGAAAACAGCTGTTCTCATACAAACTGCAGAAAATATCTAACTATCGCAATATATGGCCGATATTTTCAGTAAAAATTAACAGCGACAGGAAATACTTTCACTATAATTCATTTTTGTGCCATTAAATAAAAGATAATTATTAAAATATTTAATTTTAATGGCGAATACAAAAACTGCATCGAAACCATTTTATTACATTAAAAAAAATTGTTGAATTTTTCATTGGATACATTTTTAATGATAGATATATTCCGCCTTTGGTTTTAAAAAACGCCAGAACCGCCTAGCGGTTAAAAAGCTAAATTAATAACACTGACTACAACATTCCACCAACACTGCTATCGATCTGGCAGCACCGGTATTAATTTTGTTGTTGTTGTTGCAAAACCGCTGTCTGTATCCGTTCGCGAAAAAGACTGAATTAAAGCCGATAAAATGTCGGTTACTATAACCAAATACCGCAAATCCGGCAGCGGTTTAGTGGACTTACAGCCGGGCGTGGTTTTAAAACCAATAACCATTGATCCCCAGCAAATAATCAGGGTAAACTAAACTCCACCAAGCAAACAAACAAATTTTTTCCGATTTGTTGACATTTGGCGTTGCCAGACCGGGCCGAAGAAGCGCTCCAGCGCGAACAGCTGTTTAGAAAAATGTGCAAGGGCCGTAGTCGAGATTTTGTGAATTAAATTTCCATTTATCTGCACAGAAACCCGTCGCTGGGAACCCCCAGTTGGAGGCGCGAAATGCCACTATAAGAGTGTCCTCGGGCGGCATCGTAATCAATAAAATACCTGCTGTCATAAGGCCCAGCATGAAGCGAGCAGCAACGGCGACTACGATCGGGGCAACAGGAGCTGTTTCAGCGACAACTGCAGCAGGTACAGTGGGTCAAAAGCACGAGAAACGCAAAGATACTCATTTAAAAATATGCTATATTTCTAGCATCCCTGCCAAAGACCCCGAAATATGTAATAAAAGCCAGTGGCAGTGGGTCTTCCTCCCTGCAGTGGCAGGCCAGGCGGGACTCCCAAGGTCTCGGCGTGGCCATCAGTTCATTGCCGCCCAACACAATCATCAAGGCTACGACGCGGCAAGCGCTTGTGCCACCGCTTGTCGCCTCCACAACATCCTCTTCAACTGCATCGCCACCATCTACGCCGAGTACCAGCCGGACAACATCGGTTCAAAACACCCCAACAGTATCGGCGGACTCCAGAGTCACCTCCGCAGTGCGTCAAGCTGTGTTTATAAAGCGGAATCTCCCGCTGCCGCAGCGGAGCATGCGAAGTCTCACCCTAAACTTGATGGAACAGTCCACCATGCTCCATCTGGGCGTTGCGGGGGAGCACTTGCCGCTGCTGAAGCGCCTCATTTGCCGGAATGCCAATATCACGCATCTTGACTGCTTTATAACCCTAAGGAAACTGCGGCAAAACGAACCCTTTGCCTTGCTGGCGCAGTCCTTCGAGCTGAGCGAATGGGATGTAGAGGAACTGTTCAAGCGCACGCTCATCAAGTTGGCCCGCTGCCTGGCTCCGTTTATCCGCTGGCCAGATGCCCGACACCACAATGAGCGGCTCAAGCATACGCCGCTGGAATTCCGCGCGAATCTGTTGCACCTGCGCTCTATGATCGAGTGCGTGGAAACGGATGTGGCCGAGGGTCTACGGTGGGACAGTTCCAGCAGTTACAAGTTTATACTGTGCTTCGATACGAATGGTGAGGACAGGAACATATAAATTATAATGTCTTAAAGGTCTTAATGGTGTTCTCTTCCTTCCCCAAGGCGTCATTAGCTACGTTTCCAGCGCCTATCCCGGCAAATGTGATGATCTTCAGCTTTTCGAGGCCAGTAAATTTCGCGATAAGATACCCAAGTACCTGACGTTGTGCGCGGAGCCGGGCAAGGCAGTGCCGCGTGTCCGAAAGACTGAACCAGACGATGAATCGGGAGATGAGCTCGACTATCAGCCGCCAGTGGACCAAACGAAGCGATCCCTTAGCAAGTTTGAGGCCCAGCAATTGGGCGGAAAGTTGGCGAACCAGCAATCCCTATGCGTGGTGGACGGCGCCCTCACCTCGAAACGAGCTCCTTCGATACAACTGCCCACGCTAAGGGTCCAAGAGCAGACATGCCGGGCCCAAATGCGGGATATGATTGATAATTTCCGGGAATTCCGAATACTGGGTCATTCGGCCATTCAGAAAAGGTCGCTGCTGGGCTATCTCGATGAAATGATAATTGTGGCAGCTGCTCTCTGCAACCTCAAGCGACAGGAGCTGCACTCTTAGGTTACAACCAATTAGGGTCTAATGGGCGGGTCTCCCTTAAAGTTATCTAGTTCTTAAGCTCGCCAGATATGACATATATTTTTATACTTTAAAGTAACTTAGATGTTGTTTTGAATAAAAACATAAAATTAAAAGAAATTTAGTGGGAACTCTGAATTAAATGTTAAGTGTCAGCTTAGAAACTCGTTTCACGCATACCTTACTCTAAGCTGGCTGTTTGCTCAGCTGCCACATTAAAAACACTTGTTTCTTTTATAATTTTGCTTTATTTGATTGACAAAAATACAAGCAAAACCAAGTAAATACATAATCAACGAAAGTTGTTCAATGAACCGCAGCGCGCAACAACATTGCCAATTTGAATTTGCAAAAGAATACGTTTCAAGTCGTCTGTGATAGATATTCCAAGGGGAAGCGCTCCGGTCGCTCCCATCTTCCGCTGCAACCGCCCTTTAGTTCGTTCTCTCCACTCTTAGGGGGTAATAATTAAAAACTTGCTTAGTTAATAAGTGACTCTGCGTACTACTAGCTAAACATATATTGTATATTGTGTGTGTGTGTGTGTGTGTGTTTGTGTTTGTGGTGTGTGCCTGACAGAACCAGCTCTAGAGCTCCTCATCCTGACATTATAACAAGTATGGTGTTCCATTCATCTCAGAGCTTCTGGATAATGTCGAACTTCTTCTTGAGGTCCACACTCTCGTTCTTCGGGTCGTACTTCTTCTTGGATGCCAGCTTGGCACGCATTTCGGCTGCTGTCAGCGGCAGGTTCAGACTGCCCGCTCGATTGCCACCGGTCGCCGTCGCTGGAGGTGGCGTTATGGGCGTGGACATGCCATTGGTGCCATTCCCGTTGGTGTTGGAGACGCTGCCATTGTTGTTTAGCCCGGCCACTGTGGCGGATGGTGGCGGCGGTGTGCTCATCAGCGTATTGTTGTTGATCGGCGAGGAGGGTTTGTTGCCGTTGTGCTGCTGCACGGGCAGAGGACTAACCACGGGCGGCGGCGACGGGAGACCCCTGTCGACCACATCCAAGTCGGAGGCATTCATGGTGCTGCCGCTCTGAATGCTGCTGGCATTGGAGGATCGCTTAGTGCTCACCATGCTAATGCTGCTAATGTTGGCACTGGCTCCTGGCATCTCCTGCTTGGTGCCCTCGTAACCATTCTGGCTGGACCCATTTCCATTGCCATTGCAGGCGGCAGCGGCAGTAGCTGCTTGAGGAGACTTCGCTTCGATGGCCTTGCCATCCACATCGATGAGGAGCAAACGAACCTCGTTGGCAATGGCCTTGATCCGGGCCACCACCTGCTTGTGGGTCTCGCTGCCAATGGACACTCCGTTGACCTCCAGGATACGATCGCCCTCCTTCAGACCAGCCGCCTCTGCCGGAGAATCGGCATCGACCTTGCCGATAAACTGTCCTGGCTTCACCTTTTCCGAGTGCAAATTAAAGCCGTAGCCATCGAAATCGGGCCTCTTGACTATGTGACAGGTCTTGGTCACGCCCGGCGGCAAAGTGGGCGGTGTGGGTGTCTTGGGGGAAGTGGGCGTGGACATCGTGACTTCTGTGGAGGCAAAGAACAAATATAAATATTATTTTTAATGCATTCTCAAGTTTGGCATGGGGATTTTGAGAGAGCTTAACCGCAAACTGACTTGGCTCATTGAATTGGCGACAGCGATATGAATTTGTTTGGTACTGTTTACTTTTTCGATATTTGTGTGATGATACCCTAGATATACACAGCTTTTAGGGTATATTAATTTATATGCATTTTTAGTTTTCTGCCTAATAACATTTACATAATCATTTATCATATAATTTCCAGCTAAACAAAAACTATTTATTCCGTTCGCTTATTCCTTTACATTGCAGGCAAAGCTTGGAAGCGAGAGCGATAGATATGCAGATTCTGTTCTGTTTTTCCCATTTACAGGGTAACAATCAATCGCATTTGGTGCGTCCACAAATTTGCCTCTAACATTTCTCATTTGGCGTCGAAACATTTAGTGATAAAAGGCCAGATTCCATAATGAGGTTTTGTTCCTTGAAAAGCGAGACAAGAGTCTGGAATGAAAATGTCACAATATCGTGCCAAGTTCGTCATTAAGTTGTGTGCTTTATACGGAGAGAGAGGGAGGAGTTCAGCGTAGGCGGGCATTCAACAAGTCCAGTGGTTATATACATTCATACTATATATTTTTATGGCAATCGGCAACTACTGAATGATAACGGAAACTTCTCGCCCATTCAGCTTTTCGGCCACCTTATCGCAGGCTTCCTTTATGACAGTGCCGCGCCGACATTGACAATACGCTGAGTTGGACTGACCCACATTACCAGCTGACCCCAAAATGCTTGAGAGACCCTGGTCTAACGGAGAGTCCAGTGTCCACCATAGTTTGAAATCCGTACTACGTGCTGTTTGTTTGGCTCTATTTATTCCAATTGGCCAAGCGATTGTTTCTATGGCAAGTACTTGCCATAATTGTAATTGCTCGCCAAACGGCGGCGTTTATGGCCGTGCTTGAGTTTGGGTTTCGCGATGGGCCGTGGAAACCTGCGAATGCCCAAATAGAAATTCCACATGCATGTGCTCATGGGTCAAAATTGATTTAGTACGCCTGCTTATCGCTACAACTACACCTGCACGAAGACAATTTGCTGGTAAGGAACGTGATTTTCCTGTAAAATTGGCAACAGAATATGGCAACAGTATTTGTAGTTAAATATAACCCATAATGTGTCACAGAAAAATGTGTAAAATTTATAATGGGAAATGCGTTTTAAGTTACATAAATAAAAAAGTAGGAAAGCTACAGTAGAACTTTATTTTATGTAACTTGAAAGGCACCTTATGGGTATCTAAACCATTTTGGATTTAGATAAATGGAAATTGCTAATTCACTTGGTCTAATTATACTTAAATTTATGGGAAACCAAAAATAAAAACAGTTTGGAAGACAAAATAGGTACATGTTTCAAAAATTCCGAAACTTTATTATCTAATGTATCCATTTTTATATTAATCTAAATTTATTTCTAAAAACAAATGTCTAAAAATTCCTGATGACCTTCAGGACTTAAACTCTGAATTTGACTTGTAAACTTGCTAATTAGCCATGAGACACACATCGCTTGTAGTCATCGGGGCCTCTCACAATTGAAATCAGATATTAATTGCCCGTAATTTTCAGTCAACGAATGCAGCAGAAACTTCAAAGCCCCTGAACTTTAAATAATTAAAAAAGAAACAGAAAGCAAAAATACTCCAATCGCAGAGTGTCAGGCTTTGCAAATTACAAAAGGCATTTTTGTGTTCCGCCTCGGCTTGAAAATTTGTTTGCCTTTTATTTTCGTACTTATTTATGTTTTTGTTTTGGTTTTTTTTTTTTGCGTTGAAAGTTGAATCATCATCAGAGGAGAGGCTGTAAGATTTATGAATGTTGGCATTAGCTCTTGACGATCACGCCCGCTTCCTCCTCAAATGCGAGGGCTTAATTTATTGGAACAAGATGAGCTCGTGGATAATGACCTTGACTTTCCCACCCACCGCCAATTGTTGTCCAGCCTCCCCCATTGTAAGCGATTTTTAATTCAATACAAAGGTAAACAATGAGGCGCAAAAAAATTCAATTCAGAACCAACAATAAGATTATTTGTGGGTGCTTTAGGGGGGATCTGTTTGCATGGGATGATGGGATTGAAATAATAATAATAAAAATAATAATAATAATTGTTTTCACTCGCATGTATGTGGGTTTATGGCACTCAACCGCTCGATTTGGATTTCTGTTAGGAAGCGGAACTGGCATTTGGAAAATAACGTCACAAACAGGCAACTCAAACAAAGAAATCGTTAAATTGATAGACGGAAATTAAATGCTCGCATAATGCTGTATTTGTAGTTAATAAGGTATACCAATTATTATAAAAATGGCCATTAAATGTAATTGAAGATGGTGCTAGAAAATAATGGAAACTAATCAAGGGTTTCTTTTGTCTTGGTCAATTTTGACTAATTATAAAGCAATTGGTCGGGTTATTTGGCAGGTATTTTAATTATATGTTTGATTATAAGGTTATATAGGGTTTCACGTTCAATGAAGTGTTAAAAAGTCATTGAAAAATTTAATAATAAATTTATTACTTAATTCAAATTTGAAGGATTTTGTGGACTAGAACTTTGTATATTACTATGCAAGGATAATTATTTTAAAAATAAACTAAATTACTTCTAAATTGTTTTAGTTTCGATTTTTAATATTTTAAATGCGTTCGTAAATTAGTGCATTTAATAAATAGAAAAGACTTCAAGTTGATTATATTTCATTATTAAATATTTTATTATCCAAGTTCTTAAAATTTTCTTATAAATACCATTTTTCTTGCTTACTTTTCTTTATTTTCTGTAGGAACTAAGCTATAACTTGACCAGCTCTATAATTGGTACTCTTTCGCAAATTCATAAATCGCTTTTTGTGCCCTGTCAAGCGATTTCCCGTTCGCCAGTTGCCTCTATCCCTTCGGGTTTTCTCTCGATTCTCTCCGCTTCTCGAGCCTCGAGAACTGCGCAAACTTTAATTGAATTTGCAATCAAGCATGAAGTACACACACGCACACACACACTCTCGTGTACCCTGTCAGGTTTTATCATTCAGAATGCTGGCCAAAAGCCCCCTTACCCCCCTCTTGACAGCCCGCATGGGGACAGCAGCAGACAGCCTCCATTGTTGTTACCTACTGTTTGTTTACCTAAGCGGTTTCTCATCATTAAAGCAAATTAGCCGTTAGGCACTTACAGGTAGTTGATTTCGATTCGCCTAGGGATTCTCCTCCGATTCTCCGCCCCGCCATATCCGTTATATACCCGAAAAAAAAACATATAGGGTATCATGAGATTTTCTCAACGGGAACTCTCTCGGTTTGGGCGGCAAACTTGCAAGTTAATTCTAATTAAATTCGGTTTATTGTTACCTTTTCGCACACTCGAAATGAAATTTAATTATAGTCTTTGTAAATAGGCAAACTCTGGAGTCGATAAAAGGAAAAACACAGTCGAATAAATGAGATAAAACTAATTTGCGCGGGGGATTATTCTGGTCTTATCGCAATAAAATTTTAATAAGCATACGTCTCATTGCTGCTTAGGTGAGAAATTCATGAGGCGAGTGCTAAACACCTGAGTCATACCTGGGGGAATTTGCGGGGTGTCTGCGGGGTATTTAAGATATCAATTCCTGGGAACGGATTGGAAATCAGATATTACCGAGTTGGTCGACTCATTCCTCAGCGATTTCCTTTCCCATACAAAAATACTAAATATTCCAGAGTCTAAAGCAATTATTTACAAATTAGTTCCTACGGGCTTTACCCTAATGTCCACCTCCTCGGGCTAATGCGATATAATGTACGCGAATCTGTGGCAAAACTCCCCTAAATACCCTAAAAATCTCAAATAGCCCGGTCATAAATGGCTAAATGAGTAGAAAAACTTGACTTGGCTCTTTATAATTATTATGTAACCCCCCCACTCGCATCATCGGGCATTTTAAGCCAGCTAAAAATAATAAAAATATCAGCTTGTGGCAATAATATTTCACTGCCAAGTGAAGCCGCAATGATAATTCCACTGTTTGTTAATAAAAGTGACTAAAAGTTTGAGGCTACGTAATAAATTAAACAAAGGCTGACGACATTTGCGGGTTCACTTTGGAGTGCTTCAACATCAACTGAGATTTTTATGCAAGCAATAAAACATAAAGAAAACATAAAAAAGTAAACTGAAAGCGAAGAGAGCAGGAAGAACTTTCACTATCTGCGAATCGTGATGGGAGATTTTTAAAGCAAATATATAGCGATTTTGTACAGACTTCAAGGAGGCACACGTATAATTGATTTTCGCTGGTAGGTCTCTATCCTTATCTTAACGATCTGAGACACATTTTAATTCTTGTGTTTGACTTTATCAAATATTGTGGCCGTGTTTAATAGCTTCGCCAGCCTATCTTATCGCAGGCTGTTTTTTAATTAAGGAATTTCTGGCCCATGGCCCTTGTCCGCTCTCGCTGATATGCATGGCTAATTATGTGAGGCTTTATTTTTTTCGGGAGATGACGCCAAAGTGATTAGTTTTAGGGTTCGCTTAGCACCTAAGACGGATACAAGTGGTGACAGTTTCACAGCAGCCCATGAATCACTTGCACACATCTCCATAAAAATTCATTAGCAGCTTCCCTCCTCGCACAAAAGATTCGAGCTGAGAGCTGTGAGTTTTCAGATGCTAGAAGAAGATGCGTCTTGGGTTGTTGTCGCCGCGGGCGTCTGAGAATTGTTAGCAAATACCTTGGAGTACAGCTGGGAAACTCTGCGAAACTGGTTATGATTATTTATTTTTTGCATACCCATTGCTAATGAGTACAGCGAGGGGTATTATAGGCGAAACTGGAGGGTTGTAACAGGTCGATGGGGATTAGAGAAAACTGGTTAAACCTAAGCCTTGTAAGGACTATTTGTTAAGTCTTAAATTTCTTTGTTTTTATCATAATTCGAAAAGAGAAACTA